GGCTTGATTTTTTGATTTATTGTAAGAGATGAGGTCTCGCTGCCCAGGCGGGTCTCGAACCCGCGGGCTCAGGCAGTCCACTCACATCAGCCTCCCAAAGGCGCGGGATTACAGGCTGAGCCACCGAGCCTGGCTAAAAAAGATTATTTAACATGTCTTTTTTTTTTTTTTAATTGGAGTCTCATTCCATCACCCAGGCTGGAGTGCAGTGGCATGCTCACAGTCACTCTGGCATCGACCTGCTGGGCTCCAGTGATCTTTCCACCTCAGAACAGAGTACCAGAAACTACAGGCACACACTACCATGTGCCCTGCTAATTTTTTATTTGTTGTAGAAACAAGGTCTCACCAAGTTGCCTGGGTTGGTCTCAAACCCACAGGCTCAGGCAGTCCATTCACCTCGGCCTTCCAAAGTGCTGGGATTATAGGCTGAGCCACCAAGCCCAGCCAACATGTCTTTTTCCATATAACCCTTGAGCCATTTGAAATAGAAATACAAGGCTTATGTCATACCCTGGGTGGATCCTGAATGATATGATATGTATGAACTATCTGGCATAGTGCTTGACAAGCAATAAAAACCCAAACGGTGCTGTTCTCCTGATGGTTTTCAGTTAGGTCAGAATTTCAGAAGACTAGTTCCAGTTTGAGAAAATGCATTCCTCTTCCCAAACCCAAGTCAGATTATACTCAGTAAGAGGATGTAAGCTATTGCTTAGGGGAAGGGGCTAACTGGTTGGCAGGAGTTGGACCATCTTGACAGCTCAAGGTGCTGTAATTTCTGTCTTAGTGGGCTCCCCTCTGCTGCCTCTGACTTCTTTGTACATTCTCACACAGATGGAAAGATGCGTGGTTTTGCTTTTGTTCAGTTCAAAAACCTCCTAGAAGCAGGTAAAGCTCTCAAAGGCATGAACATGAAAGAGATAAAAGGTAAGTCTTCTATACTCATACCATTGACCCAGACACTTCTGGTGATTTGGTGAATTAGCACTGTAACCCACTTCCTACATTTACAAAAGGTATTTGTACTGTAGAGTCTCACTGCTAATATGGAAGCTGTTTTGGTGAAATACTCCTATTACTTGTTCTTAGGGTTAAACTTGAAAGAATCCTCCAGGCTCAGTGGCTCAGCCTGTAATCCCGTGCTTTGGGAGGCTGAGGTGAGTGGATTGC